ATACTCTTCTCGCCTGATCTACCCTACTTAACCCCATTTGTCCCTTAGTACCTTTATCCTTTTTGGGATGCTTTATCCTTATGTCATCTTCCCTGTCCCTGGCCCCAGAGAAAAAAGCTCTCAAAAGATCATTCCTTCATGGCAGTGTGCTATGTATTCATTTACATTTCTCACTCCTGCTAGTCTATGAGCAACAGAAGGCAGCCTAGTCTCTTCATCTTTGCATTCCTAGTCCCTAGCACAGGTCAAGCAAAGGAAAGCAGCTGACAAATATTTTCTGAATTGGCTTGTACATGGATTCTGATTTTTTAATATATTGGCTTCTTTTCCAGGGTCACAGATACTCTTCTCAGGGCAATAGAAGAATAGTTATTTCTGATATCATGGCATTATTCAAATGCACACTCTTTAACAACACAATAACTGATTATTACCATAAGCATCATATCTTACTTTATTGCAAGTTAAATAGGCAAGTGATTCATGCTATGTGGGTAGTCAATACACAGCACCCCTGTAGCTTCCTTCTGTGGCTAATACCTGGAACAGCAGGAAAGAATCATATCTTCTGGGTATTATAAATGTGGGACCCCAAGGGTATAAGATACTTATTAATGAAAAGTACGAGCAAAAATGTGGAATAGTGAGATGTAATCTAGCTTAGAACCCTGGACTAGAGATCAGGAAAATTCAGATTCTTATCCCAAGGGTGTTTTATTCCTCCCTTTTTTTATTGTGGCAAGATATAGATAATATAAAATAAAACTTACCATTTTAGCCTCTTTTCAGTGTATAGTTTAGTAGTATTAAGTACACTTGCATTACTGTGCAACCATCATCACCATCTGTCTCTAGACCTTTTTCTATATTGTAAAACTAAGGTTCCATACCCATTAAACACTAACTCCCTCTCCCCACCTTCCCCAGCCTCCAGCAACTACCATTCTACTTTCCGTCTCTATGAATTTGACTACTTTAGGTGCCACATATAAGTGAAATCATATCATATTTTTCCTTTTGTGTCTGGTATATTTCACTCAGCATTATGTCTTCAAGGTTTATCCATGTTATAGTATGTATTAGAACTCTCTTTCTTTTAAAGGCTGAACAATATTCCATCATGTACATATACCACATTTTACTCATCCATTTATCTGTTGGTGGATGCTTGGGTTACTTCTATTTGTTGAGTATTGTGAATAATGCTGCAGTTATTAAACGTAGGAATATAAAAATCTGTTTGAGCTCCTGCTTTCCATTCTCTTGGGCATATGTGAAGTGTTAGATCATATGGTAATTCTAAGTTTAATTTTTTGAAGAACTGCCCACCACACCATTTTCCACAGTGGCTGCTGCATTTTACATCCTCATCAGCCATGCACAAAGGTTCCAATTTACTTGTCTAATTGCTGAATGGCCTTTGATGAGTCACAATTTCTCTAAGCCCCTAGTTTTATTATGTATAAAATGAGGGAGTTGGAATGATCATCTCTAAGGTTTCTTCTGGCAGTAAAAGAACTATATTGGCCTAATTAAATCAATTTGCAATTAGAGCTAGAAAGCAGTCTCAATGGTTTGCATAGCATGACTTGATCTCTTGACCCCTCCCCTCCTAATACAACAAAGTAATAATTTTTTTCAGAGCTAAGGACAAAGAGTCTAAAAATTCATTTCATGAGTGCAGCTCTTACCAGGAGCAGTGGTGGAGAACACTTCCTGGGCGCATCCCCTGACTCTAAGCATCCCACATACTCTGTCCCATGCCATTCACACAGTACCCTGGGGGTTAGATACTCCACCTGCACAAGAGAAGAAACTGAGGTGTGGAAGAAGTATGCCATTTGCCCACAACTGAAAGAGCAAGATATGCCCCTGGCAGCTCTGCCCTGAAGGCAGGTTTTAACCAACCCAGATTGATGCCTTTTGCTCCTCAGTGTTTCTCTCAAGTCTTATGTGCGTTGACTATTTTCTTTCTCTTCCTTGATTATACTTCCATTTAAATGTTTCAGTCTTCTGCAAAGACCAGCTGAATGTCCTCTTCTATAGTATTTAAGCTTCTTGTTTTGAAGGCATGAAAGCTGAATGTACAAAAAAATTTCCAGAAACGCTCTTAGTGAATTTTTTTTAGCTTTCAAATGTTTTTCAGAAAATTACTTTGAAGGCACATTCTTTGAAGGAGGAAGAAACAGAATGTTTATTGTGTGCCAGGAAGTTTACCTGTATTTGTTCATTTAATCCTAACCATAACCCTATACCATGGATTTTATTTCCTCTATCTATTTTATAAGCAAGAACACTGAGATTCAGAGAGACACAGGATCTTCCCAAGGTCAGAGCTAGAAGGTAACAGGGCTGGAAGGTAGGCCTGGCTCTGTGAGCCTGGAGCCCTATTCCTTCCTATGGGGAAAACACTCCAGGGAAAACATCGAGTGCTATTTAGGAAAATGAGTGTTAAATAAATGACGTGTACATGTAATCATCTCAGCTGCTGCCTCCACCAGTGGAGCAGCTGCCTTGGAAAGGAGCTGAAATAAAAGGAGCCGAAATAAAAGGAAGTGCAGAGATTCGTAGCTTCCCAGAAGCGAACCTATGAGGAGAGGAAACTACTCAGTAGTTTCTTTCAATGAAGATGTGATTTTCTTTAGGTATCAGAGGCTGTTTTCTCTCAGAGCAAAGATCATGAAAGATATTACTGGATAACATATATGCTCATGCTCATTATAAAAAATATATATATTTACACAAAAGACTCAGCTTATATAATTGAGTTTACCTGGTTAGGAAGAAATAGTCTTGATAATTCCATATGAATCTTTACCTTGCTTAGTACCTGTCCTAGGTTCTATGAAGACTGGCCAAGGGGGTGATACCTAGTTTCGGATTTAGTTGCAAAGAACTCTCTCAAAGAGGACTGCAATGAGATTGAGGACTTCTTCTAAAAATGTGAAGGAAAAAATTAAGAGAAGCAGATGCAAGTGATTTCCAACCCAATTGGTGGTGACATGGCCTCTTAAGATTTCTACTAGATCTAGAATCAAAAGGTATGGGGCATTTATCAAAGAAACACTGATCTGGATTGTTCATCCCCAAATAGAGGACATTAACTCTGGGGTCCTTCTTTTAAATATTAAAAATGCAAAATCAGCTACAGTAATTGGACTAAACTTGTGTATTAAGGAAAACCATTAGTAGGATGAAGGTGATTGTTGCTGGTCACAGGGGGCTGGCTCGCCTTGGGAATTCCAGGAGCTAGATTTCAAGTCACAGAAGTGGACAAGTCACCCTGCAAAGTCAGCCAGTTTCTGATGACGTTATTGAAGCTTACCTTAGCTGAGGCCCATCTAAGTCAGTGCATTTCCCTTCAGGGCGTTAAGAAACTTCATGGCACAAATTCACAAAGACAAGCCCTTCTCCATGATTTTTGTTTCACAAAGTTATAAAAGCCACATTCTTGGTTTTCTCAGTCTAAATTGTACTAAATATACAAGTGAATTGTTCTTATGAAAACATACTAGATAGGCGACATTTGGTAGAATCCCAAAGTACTTTGCTTTTATCTCTGTGTCAGAGTAGTGTTCTCTCAGCTTCAGGGGAGTACCGGCACCTGAGTTTGAGAATCAAGTTACGAATTATGATTCACTTTGGCAATATTTGCCTGAGAAGGATTCCTATAATTACTTCTCTTTTAGAGATATGGAGAATCTCCGGGGACAATCACTCCTTTAGCCCTAGTACACATGACCTGCACACAAAATGTCCTTGAAATGGCACTGGTTATAAGGCTGGAGATTTCTAAAAAGAGACAGGTCTTTCAACAAGATAGCTAAAATTTCCCAAGTTTATCTTTTGTCTCAAACTACTGAAAAGAGATAACTTGAAGAAAGTAATTCTTATCCCACAGATACTACCAAACAGAAAATGAATTGTTCTGACTTTTTCCTGTTTGAAGAATGCATCTTTTACTCCTCTTTATAGCCTCTCTGAATATAGTAGGTGAAAATACATGATTTTTGAACTCTACTAATGTGGCTACACAACTGACCCAAATTACATATATTTTATTTTTAACATAAACATACAGGTGCCCAATTCATGTTTCTATTCTACTTTAAAATAAAACACTCAGCTTAGTGCCCTTAAATGCATACAAAAAAAAAAAAAGACTTTCTCAGTGTGATACTAAATTACCACATTGCACCTGAAGCCTGGGCTTGCCACCTGGCTTGCATAAAAAGAACATGGAGGCAAAAGAGATCTGCAGAAGTTTGGGAAAACCTCCATTTTCTCTCCCAGCACTAAGGAAAAAGGCACCTTTGTCTTGCTCCTTGGACATTGTAGACAGAAACACAATTGATATCATAACAGACTGGAAATAGCGTCCACTTGGCCCCCGGTGTGACCTGACTGTAAGGAGGGGGAGCATCACTTCACCTCAATAAAGTCATGAATGCCTTCATTACTTCAAGTAAATAAATGCAGAAACAGAAAACTAAAGGCTGCAAGTTCTCACTTATAAGCAGGAGCAAAACTCGTACACAGAAATAAAGATGAGAACAAGAGACACTGGGAACTTCTAAAGTGGGGAGGGAAGAAGGCAGGAGGGAGGCAAGGGTAGAAAAATTGTCTGTTGGGTACCATGTTCCCTATTTGGGTGACGGGTTCAACAGAAGCCCAAACCTCCCCATCACACAATATACCCATGTAACAAACCTGCTCATATACCCCTTGAATTTAAAAGAGAAAAAAAATAAACTCATGAATGCTAGAAATACTTGATGTTTGGCAAACAAAGCTATTAAGGGCTACTGCAATTGCCCAGAAATAACTATTGCCTAAGTGAGGCAAAGGGCCTGAGAGAATGCTGGGTCTTTCATTCTTTAGATAATAACACAGATTGTAGTTAGAGCTGGTGGTTCACTGGGGACAGGGGTCAGAAAAAGAAGCACACAGAGCAAGTTGGTTTGCAGTAAGTCAAAGCTGACTGGAGAAGCCAAACTTACAGATTTTAGGATCCCTGTGGCATCTTGGTGCAGCCAGGTAGGGTAGACCACCTCATCATTCAGTATGGCCTCGAAGAGGTCATCTTCGTTTTCTGCTTCAAAGGGCGCATGACCACAGAGCATCTCGTAGAGCAGTACGCCCATTGCCCACCAATCTACTGCGGGTCCATACAGCATCTCCTGGAGAATCTGGGCAGAGGGGGGCAGCATGAGAAGTGCCTCGTGTATTTGACTAACAAATGCATTCTTCATGACTTGAGAAAGGGATGGATTCGAAATATTTTTTTTAAAAATAGGCTTCTGTGCTGGCATGCTTGTTTCATTCCATCTCTACATAGTGGTCAACTCTAAGGTACCTTCTCATCTAGGTAAGTAAATATTTATGGTCTGCTCAGGCCAAGGTGATGGCATGTGCAGATCTAAAACAGAAAGGATCTGGAAATATGTGGGATGACCCAAAAACCCTGGAATTATCTTTTGGAGGGCGGGCCCCTTGTACCCTCAGAACTTGTTTCTCCAGATCAGACAGTCAACCAAAGTTGTTATCTGGAAGTTTTGAGAAGGCTGCGTCACGATTTACTGTAGAAACATCCTGAGTGTGGCAAACAGGTGATTGGTTATTCTACCATGAAAACATACCTGTCCACACTGCACTGATTGTTCAGCAGTTTTTGACCAAGAATGGCATGAACCCCATGCCCCACTCTCTTTATTCACCCAATCTTGCCCTGAGAGACTTCTTTTTGTTTCTTTGATGAAAAATGTTCTCAAAGGGAAATGTTTTGCTGATGTGGAAGAGATGAAACAAAAAAACAGCAGAAGCACTAAAAGGCATCAAAATTGACGAGTTCAAAAACTGTTTTGAGCAGTAGAAAAAGCATTTTGATAGTTATATTGCATCAAACGGAGAACACTTTGAGGTAACTGAATTTGAAACATTTAAGAATACATGCATAATTTTTTACAAGTGAATTCTGGCTTTTTGGGGGGTCCTCTCTCATATATCAGCAGGGAAGGAAGAGGACACTGGGCTCACACATTCATAAAGATGTAAGAGCTTTTCTTTCATTCTGCTAAATGAGGCTGGGATTACATCACTTGAGAGACAAAGAGGGAAATAAATTAAATAACCATGAGTGACGCATCTTTTGTCTTCATTGAGGGTTAAAATCCTAACACAACTGCAAAGTTTACTCCCCACTCCCCCCGAATTAACTCAGTTTCTCATTTAGAGGGACCTAGGACATTTCAGTCATCATTCAGCCAGGGAGCCATACATGTGAGTTTGGCGGTGTTGGCTTTCAGCACTGCCCGCAAAGCCACAGCACACAAACGCAGCTGGTGACATTTCTGGTCAGGGCTACTGTAGAGCTCAGATTGCAGAAGCTGCACCAGGCAGCTGCACTCACCTCTGGAGCAATATAGTCGGGCGTGCCACAGAATGTGGCTGTGGTGACTCCGTTACAAATCCCCTCTTTACACATTCCAAAGTCTGCCAGTTTACAGTGACCCTCGTGATCCAACAGCACATTGTCCAGTTTCAGATCTCTGAAAGAAACAAAGCGCAGCATGGGACAGGGCAGCCAGGTCCCAAACCACCCACCTTGAAGAATTAGCTTGCAGGACGGGCATTCAGACCACAGCATGGTCGTGTGTGGCCCCAGGAGCTTCCTGCACACACTTCAAAAGTAACAAATTTCCCCGGGTTATCTGGATTAAAAAAAAATCCAGATCAAGTCTCAGAACTTGGGCTTACAGTCCCTACATGACAGGTCCATAAACAGGTTAACCACGTATAAAAACTTAGGCTGCCCTTTACAAACTGTGGGCAGAAGGTGACATTTTTGGACTTCCCACTTGCCTTGCACTCATAAGAAATCCACCCAGCCAAGCCCCTGTCCTCCACTCCTGCATCCATCTCTGCTCACGACAGTCACTGAGTAAACATCCTTGAGGTGGCCTCTGCATAGCAGGAGTGGTGACAGGCACCAGAGCACAGATGATCTTTATCTGCCAGAAACTCACAGTGTAATGGAAGACAAGTATTTGCTAGACTTAAGCTCCATGAAGGCAGGAAACAGGCTGATTTTGCTCACCATCATGCTTGGCATGGTACTTAAGAAACACTTGTTTTACATGTGTATGTATCTATGCATACTTAGGGAAGGGGAGCCAGGAGAGGACGCACCAACCAACTGCTCTATGTATGAACCAAGCACTGTGAGAGAAACATAAGAGGGAGCAATTAATTCCTTCCAGTGACTGGAGAGTGGGACAGCCTCACAGTAGAAGCAGAAATTGAGCCGAGTCTGAAAACATGAACCAGAGTCTCCTGGGCAGAGCAGGGGGCTATGAGATGGTCGCTGTGGGCAGGCACATGGAGCATGTGCACCACTGCGGGCACAGCGGCGTGGTGAGCAGGTGGCTCTGAGGCCCCAGTCTCAGAGGACTCCCAGGACTCTGAGGCTGGGGGCTGGGCAGCACGAGAACACTGGGGCCATGAAAAACCTTAGGACTAGAGAGGAAAAAGTTAGGTTCTTCAAACCGCGAGGGTTCTGAATGCCACACTAGGGAATTCTGGTATTTGGATATTAGGCAAAAGGAATCCATCAAAGCCTCCTAATGAAGGGAAGAACAGGTTCCTGACTGAAGAAGAAAAGCTCAGCGAGGGAAGGCTGATGCTGTCCAGGGCAGGGATATTAAGGGCCGAACTAGAACAGTGGTGAATGGAATGGAAAACAAAGGGTCAGTCCTCTAACAGTAAGAAATAAACAGCGTTTCTTCTGCGAAAGCAAAATCAGTTAAGAAGCTTGCCAACCACTTAGAGGTAGACCAGAGAGAAGTGGCAAGAATGATCACTCCTGAGTTTCTGTCTTGGATCCAATGGGTTTGAAGGGAAAAGGAAAAACAGTGAGAACAGGATCAGTTTTGATGTACCCCAGGTGCAGAAGAGGCCTAGTAGTTTATGAAGACTCAGGAAAAGGCATTTTCCACCCCTTTCCCAACCCCTAAGGGCAGAAAGTAAATTTCTAGTATTAGAATTGTTTGGTAAAAAAAACCCTCAAGAAGGAAGGAACAGTGGCTGTATAGGGACGAAACTGTCTGCAGATAAAAGACAGCGCTCTCCTAAGACAACCCCCCGCCCAGCTTGGGTTTCCGGCACCTGCTTCTCCCATCACTACCCGTTACAGAGGGAAGAAAGGAACTATGGCAGGCTGGGAAACAGTCCTAAGAGCAACACCACTGCCAGTTTCCCAGGCACAGCCCAGAGAGGATGAAAACAGATGCTTGGCCTACCAGGTAAGACGGTTATGATTTTTTTTTTAAAGGAACAATGTGCTCAGAGGCAAACCCTGTGGGCTTATCAGGGAGGAGAAGGCTGCACACACGTGGGGGGGGGGGGCTTGGTGACCTGGGGATCTATGGTTCACCACCAGCATGGGAGGCTGCCCTGGCTTGGGCCACCCAGAGTCCTCCTCACTGTGCCATCTTCCCCATGGCTGGAGCGAACTCCTCTTCTGGGTTGTGTCAGGCCCTTGAGGCTCTGTTTTCCTGTCCCCAGTCTGAGAATGAAAGGTCTGTTCAGTTGCCTGGCTCAGGGGAAAAGGCTGGGCTCTGTCCAGCCTGGATCATGTTGCTGGTTCAGAGGAGGGAGGTGATGACAGAAGTGGCGCGACTGGTTCCCACACTGTGTCCTGTGAGTTGGTAGGCCTGGCCACCGGGTCTTACAGACAGTGGTCACTGGAACACACCCAAGAATGGAAACAGAGGCCTGTCTTCCAGGAACCCCAGATAAGTGTGGTTAAAACGGCAGAGCTTTCTTGGCACGGGTCAATGGGAACACAGAGCAGACTCCTCTGCTCTGGGCAGCAGCCTCCCTGGGCATCACGGGTAAGAGGTGAAGGCGTGCTGAGTACCTGTGTGCCCACATCAGCAAAGCCAGCCTTCTCTGTCTCCAGCCCAAACTTGGTCCCAGCCCCCAAATCAGCTTCCTTTCCCTTCTCCATTCAGAGTCCTATGTGCCATGTTTTCAGTGGGCTGTGATTTGTGGAAGCTGTTCCCTCCACCCCCGTCCCACCACACCACACCCACACCTACACCCCCCCCAACACAATATGAACACAACAAATTTAACCCACATGAATTTGCCATTACAGAAGTATGGGTTGGGGAACAGGGATCAAGACGGTGATGGTCATGTCACAGGGGGAAGGAGGCCACCGCCAGGAGCTGGGCACAAGTGGATTTTAAGGGTGCCCCTTGAGAACTGGCTGCCTGGCTCCTTGGGGACTGAGGCACCCATCAGTGAGGTGGCTAGCTGAAGTTAGACATAATAGTCTGTGGCTCCAGGAGAGCAAGGCCATAAAGGACAAAGCCCAAGAGGCTGGCAAATGCCACTACATCCTAGCCCGGCAGGCCAGGCCTGGGTGGACCCAAGGCCTGGGGACCTTCACTCACATTTTCAAACAGGGTCACTGAGTTTTCCCAAAGCCGTATGCCTGGTGAGGTCTCAGAAAGGATCTTGTTGGGCAACAGAAACAAGTGCTAACAGAAACCCACAATGGTCTCAAGAGCTGACCTGCAATTTCTCAAGAGCTTATGACTCATGTCCCAGGTAAGAAGTCTGAGGGCCTAGCACTTACTGGCTACCACGGGCAGCAGGAATCACGGGAAAGAAAGTGCTTGATTAGTTTTTGTCTGTCGTCCATCACAATCCCCTCTGCACAGGAAAATCCTGAACACAGCTCTCAGGAGACACAACTGGGCAGCACAGGGATGAGACTCTTCCTAGTCAGAGGATGTCCAGGGCCAAAAAGGCAGGTGAGATACCTTAATCCTGACTTCTCACTCTAATTTCAGGCCTTCTCAGGACCATACGAGCCCCAAGACCAGCCATAGCTGATCTCACACAGGTGCTAGCAAATAGGACAGAACTCTCAAATTGAGATGCCTTGAGGGTTCAACTAAGAATGTAATGTCATCCCAGGCTACCAGTACTGCCCTCAGCCCAAATATCTCATACCTACACTGTGAAGTCTGTCCTGGTGACCCTAGAGAGATACAGCAATATCAACACTGCCCCCAGAGTGCCCAGTTCACACCCTGCACTATGATAGCACACCCTGCACTGAATTCTAGAAGCTCTGTTTGTGTACCTGTCTTCTCCCTTAGCAGGGGATGAGCCTTACTTCTTCCTGGCTCCTGCTCGGTCCTGGCAGAAGATACTGACCACAGACAAATATAGAAGCATTTCTAATGGACACCTGACTAACTGAGAGCTTATCTTATTTTAGGGAAAGAAAGGAAGTTCCATAAACCCACTGGAACCCTTTCTCCAAAGAAATTAAAACTTATAAAAAGTCACATGCTTTATCCCTTACAGAGAGATTCCAGAGAGAAAGGAAAAAACCTGAAATAGAAGTTCAAATTCTTAGGTGAGGCTGGAGAAAGAAAAATGAATAAGGAGGGGGCAATTATAAAATAATGGGGACCTGGAAGAACATTTATCCTTATGCTGGCTCGCATCTAAACAGAAGAGAGGGGCAAAGAGAGGGTGAGTCAAACAAATCCAAAGGTTATAGAGTCATTTACAGCCATAATCAGTGACCACTATCAGGTTAAGTCCTACCTTTATGTTAAAAAAAAAAAAGCAAAAGCAGAAGTCACCCCAAAACTCCTGACTTTTTAAATTTGAGTCAGAATCTCACTCAGCTGCCATAGTGGTACAATCACGGCTCACTGCAGCCTCGACTTCCTGGGCTCAAGTGATCCTCTCACTTCAGCAATCCTCCCACCCCACCAGGAGCTGGCCCCCATGCCCAGCTAGTTTTTTTTTTTTTTGGAGAGATGAAGTTTCGCTAAGTTGCCCAGGCTGGTCTCAAGCTCTTGGGCTCAAGCATTCCTCTCACCTTAGCCTCCCAAACAGTTAGTGTTACAGGTGAGGTGTGAACCACTGCATCTGGCTAAGACTCCCGACTTTAGCTTGAAATATGCAGAGGTCAGTTTTTGGCTTAGGAGTTCCTCTGCTTCTTATGCCAACATGTAACTCAGCAGTCAAACTTAACAAAATGACATAATAGAGATGACAAGTCAGTACAGGGCAGAGACTCAGATCTCAAAATGCCCAAAACACAATTACCACCTTACCGGGCATGAGCTCATTGAGCACCAGTATTTAATAGCTGCAGCTTTCGTCAGGCAAGCATTGAGGGGCAGAAAGAGTTATTTTATCCTCTCTGCTTGCCTGAAAGGTACAATTGTTCTTGCTGGGTAATCAGGGTTACTTAAAATGCCCACAGTAGTTTCAGACAGAATTCCCAAGTGGTTGGAGACAAAGGAGACTCAGAAATTGGATTTATTTTGTTTCCACCATGAGCTACCCCAAGAGTAATAAAACAGAATGACAAGAGTCTTACTGCTTAGATCCCTGGAATCAGTGACTTCTCCAAAAGAAATAAGGGAAAGTGAATTGAGAGATGGCTCCTTGAACAAGAATGAATCTAAGAGGATATTCACCTTCATTAACTATTTTATTGTGTTTATTTTAC